ATACTTTTAGCACAAAGCTAAGGGCCCCATGGGTGCCTGGGAGGAGAGTGAGCATCTGGCTTCCTCCCTGTGAAATGGCAGATTAATTTCTCTCAGCAAGAAGTCACTCCAAGCACCCAGAGATAAAGGGAGAAGGATTTTGAATGGCCAACCATAACCCTAACTGTCGCTCAAGGATGCTTCGTCCCAAACAGAAATTGTCCATTGTTTATATAGATTTGGGCTATAACATTATAGTCTTACACATGTTTTTATCTGCAGATGGCTTTGCAGGTTTCAGTTTAACAGGTTTCACAAAAACAGAAACTAAGTTTGGGTCATTATTGGGCAAATGGGAAGATTTACAGAGTAGAGATCCTATCACAGCCACTTTTTTCTTTGTTGGTTTGTTTGTTTGTTTTTCGAGACAGGGTTTCTCTGTATAAATCCTGGCTGTCCTGGAACTCGCTCTGTACACCAGGCTGGCCTCGAACTCACAGAACTCACAGAGATTCACCTGCCTCTGCCTCCCAAGTGCTGAGATTAAAGGCGTGCGCCACCACCGCACGGTGTATCACAGCCATCTCAAGGATGCTCTTCTAGGCAGCTGATAGTCACGGTCATTCTCTTTGAACTGCCTGGCTGACCTGGGCTCTTCCTGGTAAGAGGAATGCGGCTGAATGACCAGGCAGCCCTGGTGAGCAAATTCACCCACCCCCACCAAAAAAGGAGGTGACACAAAACTGGGAGTCATGACCAAGTATTTTGGTCCCATGAATTCCTCCAGGTAATGGGGTCCTGAACCTATTGTAGCCTGTTTCAACTCAATTATGAAGTTTGATGGTGGGTAATTTATCAGTGTTAATTGTCTGCTAATAGAAGCAGCAAATAAGAAAAGAAAGAAAAAGTAATGTGAATTCTTGGGAAGCAGAGACAGAACAATTACTGTTAGCTCAAGATCATTCTGGACAGCAAGTCCCATGTGGCCTGCAGCCCCCTTTCCAGGGCTCATGTTCTTTGCTTGTGGCTCCACTGCTTAGCTCAGAGAGCAATCCAGGGACTGAAGCCTCCTCTCTACTTGGAGGGGATTCACCACTGAGGCCAAGCCCACCTCTTTCCATCTTGCTCACTCTTAAAATACACACATACACATATATACGTGTGTGTGCATGTGTGTGTTGTTCTCAGGCAGGCCAGGGAACCCTTGATGAGGAAGCAAAATTCATTCCCAGAGTGACTGCCTTAATACTGCACAGTTGGCCATGCGATGGTGACACACTCCTTTAATCCCAGCACTCAGGAGGCAGAGGTCTGTGAGTTCGAGACCAGCCTGTTCTACAGAGCCAGTTCCAGGAAGGCTCCAAAGCTACAGAGAAACCCTGTCTCAAAAAAACAAAACAAACAAAAAAACTAAAAAAGCCAGGAGCAAACAGGGTTCTCCCTTATTTCCGCACTTTCCCTCATTGACTGGGTTTCTGTAGAAGAAATGCCAATCATTACTGGCCCACATAAGTGTCCAGGATGTGAGTCGCCCCTTTATTTCCTTAAATGACCTGAACCCCCACATACACCTCTGCCTGGGTGTTTGTATTAGTTCCCATTCTGCAGAGAAACAGAACCGATAGCAAAAAGCCAGGGTGGATATGTAGTTCAGTGTGTGTGCCTCGCCTGCCAAGCTTGCAGTTCCACCTCAAACACTGCAAAAAAGCCAGGCCTGCGAGAACACGGCTATCACCCCAGCACTGGGAAAGTAGAAGCAGGAGAATCCAAAGGAAGCAGGAGAACTGGAAGGTTTCTTTGTTTTGTTTTGTTGAAACAAGGTTTCTTTGTGTAGCGCTGAAACTCACTCTGTAGACCAAGCTGGCCTCAAACTCAGTGATCTACCGGCTTCTGCCTGGAGTGTTGGGATTAAAGGCGTGTGCTACCACTATCTGGCAAGTCAGAACGTTTTATTTGGCTGCATGAGCCTCACACACACACATACATACAAAGCTAAGCATTCATCTATGTCCATCTGTCCTATTTTTCTGTTGTGATAGACACCATGTGCAAAAGCAACGTGGGGGAAAAAGATTGATTTCCTCTTATAGGTTAGAGGTTAACTAAGGCAGGAACTGAAGCACGAGTCATGGAAGAATGATTCTTCCTGGCTTACTCCCTCAGTTAGCCTTCATCCACAGCCCCAAATCTACGCCTAGAGCTTAGAGCTGGTGTCATCCAGCAAGCTAGGCCCTCCGACATCAACTAGCAATCGTATAATAATAATGATGATAACAGTAATGATAGGCCCACAGGCTTTTGGACCAGTCAATCTGATCGAAGCAACTGAGTGTCCCTCTGTCCAGGTATATCAAGTTGATACAATTAGCCATCACGCCACCATTATGATCAAGTGTTGGGTGGCAGAGAGGCAAGCAAAAATACACTAACATCATCAAACATTTAACATATTTGAAAGCCTAGGGTAATGGGTCTAGGGAGAGAGGAGTCTGGAATAATCATCTGGGGAATTTGGGTGAGGTCTGCTTCCATGACAGCAAAAAGCTCACCAGGTCGTTAGTAAAATGCACTCTCGGCTTTCTTCCTGGCTGAAATGCAGGTATTTGGTTTTTATCCCCTCCACCGAGGAGATGCGCCTGTGTGTTTAACATTGCTGGTTCTCTCGGTGCTTCCTTGTGAGTACAAGGACCTCTGTGCCCCCAACCAGGAGCCATCAGCAGCCTCTTAACCTCCCCCACCTCTCGGCACACATTAGTTCCGGGGATGGCATGGGGGGTGGGCACACATCTGTTTTGAAGAGCCTACAATGCAGCTGAGCGGTGGTGGCGCATGCCTGTTAATCCCCTCTTGCCGGCTGTCGTTTATTAGTTCTTTCTCCTTCCAGCTTCTTGAAGTTGCTTGCGTTTTCTTCTTAGTTTCCTCTGTGTTACCCTGAGTTCGGCTTCAGTGGCTACCTCTCCCTAACCCTTTCAGAGAGCTGGTGTCCAAAGGTCAAAGTACCTTTTTTTTTTTTTCTGGTGGGCCACCTGGAACTGCAAAGAAGTTCTACCTTCATTACAATCCAAGCTGCAGGCTAAACAATACTTCCTATCTCCTGGCCATTAATAATTGTCAAGAATCATAAAAGGAATTAAGAGAGACACCCAAATTCCTGGAAAATTTCCAGAAGCCCCAGAAAAAAATTAATATTCCTCTTTTATTAATCTATTCCCTATCTTCATTTTCCCCCCTTGAGATAGAGTCTGGCCATGTAGTCTAGGCTGGCCTGCTACTAGATATGTAACCCAGCGCAGGCTGGCCTCCAACTCTCCATCGTCCTGCCTTAGCTCTCCAAATGGCAGGATTATAGGCATGAGCCACGGCACTCAGCTTCCCTCATTCATCACATAGCTACAACAGCCCCACATCCACGAGGTGAGAAGTTGATTTTCGAGTCTGTCTCTTATTCTTGGCAAGAATATAAGTCCTCCTCACTCCGAAGCTGGCACTCTGACTGCGTAGAGGTGACAGAAATGGGGGATCATTGACACTGAATGAGCCAGCGACAACAGAGCAGGGTTTATATAGGCCAAATGCCTTCTTGTACTTCACCCAGAACTCCTGACCGAACCCAGGTTGTTCTAGAGCACAGTGCCTTCCCATGGCTTCCAGTGCTGCCCCGGAGGCCCAACAGCTCCACTTCATTTCAAAGACCACTTTTGTAAGGATGTCTGATCCTCCCTACCCTTCAATACGGTGAGGTAGCAACTCTCAGGCCTTGCTTGGCACTCCTGTCTTGAGGCTGCCGTTCTGCTTCGGATTCTTCCTGGGGCTCTGCAAACCAGAGTCTGGTTTTGCTCATCATTTTCCCTGCCGATGGTCAGTGGTGTGTATCGATGCGCCCAGGGACCTGGATGGGAACTTCAACCTGCATATACCTTGTAGACGTGGTGCACATTTCCTGACTGACTACAGAGCGAAGCAGACAGCATCACCTGTCTTCTATCTGAGGCACCTGAGGCACAGAAAGGTCATGCAGGCCCGAGATCACCTGACTGGGTCCCGATAGGCACGATTTAACACAGGTATTCTGATTCCCAAACCAGACGCTGGGCTCAGTGCAGAAGAAACACAAAATGACGGCATATTTAGAGCCAAAGGGAGCTACCAAACAATGAGAGGGGTGCTGAGAGCTGTGAGATCAAGGGAAGAAATCGAAGGGGGCGGTTGGAAAAACAAAACAAAACACATGAAGTGTACCAGTCATCTTCGGGCCCTGCATTTTACCTGCTTGAGGGCTCCAATAAACAAGTGCAGGAATCCCAGTACTCAGCAGCCACCAGGCAGGAACAGCTCAGGCAGTAGTCCTTCAAGAGGCACAGCTGGGCCAGTGCACAGCTGGGCTTGCTGGGCTTGACTGGCCTGGGGGGGGGCTGTCTTTGGCTGCTCTAGGACCCAGGGTCTAGGCTGTGCTTCCTGGCTGGTGTTCCAGGAAGGGATTGGTGAATTTGTAACTCTAGATAAGCTGAAGGTGGCTCCTACTGCTCCCTGCAAGGCCTCAAGTACCAGCTCTGGGTGACCCTGCTGCACTGGAGGGACATATAACCACTCACTCACCTCCTAACGTCACAAAATCTGGACATTTGACTTGATGCTTACTAGTCAGAAGTAATTACCCCAGTTATTAGAAGGAAACAGAAGCACATAGACCCACAAGACAAATCAGTCAGCCTGTGACGGTGACGGGGTGTCTCCATCCCTTCTTTATTTAAGGGAACAGATCTCCTTCCATGTACCCTTGAAAATCAGCACAGTAGCTCACTCCTGAGCAGAACTTCCTTTGAGGCAATCCCCTTGAACTGTCCGTTTCCATTGTCCAGCCCTGGAGTACAGATTGGGGAGGATTTGGACTCTATTCAGTATAGGGTGGATACAGCAGGAATCTGTTCAGATGCCCTAGTTCTTGGGTTACCCACCACTGTCACTGAAGTCTGTCCTGTCTGTATGCAGTGTATCAACCTCTTTTCACTAAGCCAGCAACAAGCTCCCTGACTCCCACTCTCAGGATTGGCAGCCTTCTCTCTCCGTACTCCACGACCGTCCTAGTGCTCAGAGGGACACAGGATGCTACAGCCTTCCTTAAACAGAGGAACAGCACATGATTTCCACACCCTGAAGGCGCTGGCCGATGCTTCGGCGTGCCCAGTGGACCGTCGGGTCTGTATTTCGCCATTCTTGCTGGCCAGGGTGGCTCTGGAACTGCCGGCTTTGAAATGGAATTTTGGCTGGAAGGGGTTGGGCCACACCGGCACAGACTGGATGCGGGTGGTCACAGAAAGATCCCACTACACCTCATCTCTCCTCCTCCCAATTCTGGCATTCCGCCAGACCCGCCAGACCGGCCCTTCCCTGCGCCCACACAAGAGGAGCGGGGAAGAGCGAGCAAGGCCAGCATCCCTGGCTAGTGGCCGCGCGAACTGGCCCCTAGCGCCCGTGTCCCGTCGGGACGCGCGCATCCCGAACGGGCTGCCAAGGCCCACAAAGCCCGGGCCCCGCGCCCCAGCCGGGCGAGCACAGAGCGGGGCGGGGCGGGCCGCGCGGGCCGGGGGTGTCGGATGTCACCCGCCGCGTACACCTCGGCCGGGAGGCGGGGAAGCGAACCATTGAGATGAGGAGACCTCCTCGGTCCTAGAGCGGTGCAGGAAGTGTCCCAGGGGAGGGAGCCGGAGGGCTCCGGCCTTTCCTTTCCGCGGCTGCCCGGCCTGCGCGGCCCGCCAACCGGGACGCTGCTCAGCGGTGAGTATACCGTGGACCGGTCTCCCATGTCCTGCTGCCTGAACCCGGATCCTGCTCCCCACTTCCCGCGCTCTGATCTCCAGCCCTGAGCCTGGGTCCCACTCCCTCTTCTCCACTTCCCGCGCCCTGGCCCAGATCCCTGTTCCCAGAGCTGCGTCCTCATCGTTGCCCTCGGGGGATGAAGCAGTATGATTGTCTTTCAGGCGTCTCCCTTCGCTCCCAAGCCCAGCTGAAGCTTTCTAGATGATCCCGAGACAGGGTTCGCCTGCCCAGGGACGGAGTCTGGCCCCTGCAGAGGAGCCGCCTCGGCCAAGACACCAGGGAGACCGGGCTGGAAGGTGAGAACCCGCAGCCCTGCAGTCCCAGGCTTCGAGGCGAAGAGCCAGCAAACCTGGAAGAGTGTAAGCGACAGAAACCCCATAGTTCTCCTGGCCTAAGACACCCTCCTCATTCCTTTCCTCCAATTCTGCTCCTTCAGTAGCAGCTTTGGGCAAGCCCCGCCCCTGGGGGAGCCCTCCCCTCACTAACGGTAGTTCATTCATAAAGCTTCCGCCGAGGCTCCTGCGCGCCAGGTGCCAGGGTGACAAAGAGGCACACGCCAGTCTGGCCTAGGGGCTCCCAGAGAGAGCAGTTCCACGGCAGAGCTGGGTGCCGAGGGTGGGACGCTGGATACCCCACCACGGGCTTAGACCTGAGCGGTTCAGGGCCCAGCAGGTGGGAGACAGTAGGCGGAGGAAGCTGGGAAGAGCGCGGGCGGGGCCGAGATTGGCATCTTAATACCGGAGTAAAATGTGAGAGTAGTCGCGGTTCACAGCCTGTTGCTTTCAGAGTTTCGCTCCGGGTGTCTGTTTGTCTTTGCTTCGGAAATCAAAGGAGTACAGAGAATTTGGGGTTCCAGGTGTTGTTCGGTTGCTTGGTGCTGTTCTGGTCTCGCTTGTCTTCCTGCAAAGTGGCGCTGCCCCGCTAGGAATCTCTTCCAGGTGAGAGTGTGAAGGGTCGGTGGCCCTGCCTGGAGTTCCCAGAGGCCTGAGAGCAGAACCCTGTGTGTCTCCGTTTTTTGCCTTTTCTCCCAGTGTTCGGAAGTCAAGTGGAGTGGCCTGTGTGTGTTTGCTGGGTTTTGTACGTGATAGCTAGGGAGGTCTAGAGAACCCCTGCCCCACCGCGGGTGTGTGGCAGTCTGTGGCACCGAGTTTCTTAAGAGTGGAAAGTCATGCTGGGCGGTGGTGGTGCATGTCTTGAATCCCAGCACTCGGAAGGCTGAGGCAGGTTGATCTCTGGGAGTGAGTTCAAGACCAGCCTGGACTACATGAGCGAGTTCCAGGACAGGCTCCAAAAGCTATCACAGAAACCCTGTCTCGAAAAACCAAAAAGAAAACGAATAGAAAAAAAAAAAGTCATGAAAGACCTTCCCGCATGACCAAGAAGGTTTGTGAAGTCGGTGTGTACCACTGCCTCGAGCATGACTTGGAGAGAACAAGGGATCAGAACTCATGAGATTTAAGTTGTTTTTTTTTAACCACATTTTATATACTAAAATGTAATTATATAATTTTCCCCTTCCTTTTTCTTCAACCCCCCTCTCCAAATCTTGGCCTCTTTCTCTGGTTGTTACATTGTTTTACACACTTATTCACAAACACACCCCCATGTCTAACTACAGGTAACTTTAGAATGTTTTTTAACTTATGTGTATCCCTTTGTAGACATCTGTGTATAGGTATATACACTTGAGTGCAGTGCCCATGGAGGTCAGAAGAAGGTTGGTGGAGACCCTGGAGTTGGAATTACAGGGCTTTGTGAACAACTTGGGGTGGATGTTCCCTGAACTGCTAAGCTGTCTGTCCCTCCAGCCCCCAGAACCAGATGGACTTTAGATGTACAATAAAGACCATAGTTCCTATGCTGCACCCAGTGGGGTGTAAGACTTGTCCTAAAACACTGAGATTTGGGGAAGAGGAGCAACTTTGCTGCACCAACTGACCTTGCACCTCTTGCACCCCTGTGCCTAGCGATGGTGTTTTAAAATACAGTGGGTTTTTTGTTGCTGTTTTTGTTTTTTGAGTTCCTTCTCTGCCTGCAAGTTTTTGCCCCTGCCGACACACAGAGGGCAGGCTATGTTGGGCTCTTATCCAGCCATTCTGTCCTTGGCAAAGTGGCATTGCCCCAGGATGGTCTTGGATGGCTCATTCTTTGCATTTTTTTTTTTTCAGTTTAATTTCTGAAGATCTCAAGAACAAAGACAGTGACTTTGGTGCCAAAGCTTCAAGATTGTGGCTTGCTGGGGCTATATCCTCCAAGAAGACCTGTCCCCCAAAGGTATCACAAGCCTGGGTTACACATATCTGCATGTGGCCTTGTTTTCCTGGGATGCTGGAAACGTCAGTGTCCTGTTGAAATGCCACCACTTCTCTCCCAGATTTCCTGCCTTCACTGCCACCTCTTAGGGGAACCTACATGGAGTGATGCTCATGGGAAGAGCCATCTTTCTTTCTGCCCCCATGTGTAAGAACCAGCCACACCAACACTTCATGTATTTCCCAGGGATTCCTCAAAGGGCTGGTGTCCTGTGGGCTTTGTCTACCCCCCACCCCCAGAAACAACCACGGGAGACCAGAGCACAGAGCATTGAAGCCAGCAATTTCTGTTTGGAAATAGGGCCGTCTTCTGCCGCTGACCCCCATCAAATCCCATCATGCCCACAGCCCTGTGCCCACGAGTCTTGGCTCCAAAGGAAAGTGAGGAGCCCAGGAAAATGCGGAGTCCTCCTGGAGAGAACCCCAGCCCTCAGGGTGAGCCTCCCAGCCCAGAGTCCTCTCGCCGCCTCTTCCGCCGGTTCCGCTACCAGGAGGCGGCAGGCCCACGGGAGGCCCTGGAGCGCCTCTGGGAACTGTGCCGGGGCTGGCTGCGGCTCGAAAGGCACACGAAGGAGCAGATCCTGGAGCTACTGGTGCTGGAGCAGTTCCTGGCCATCCTGCCATGGGAGATCCAGAGTTGGGTGCGTGCCCAGGAGCCGGAGAGTGGAGAGCAGGCTGTGGCTGCAGTAGAGGCCCTGGAACGGGAGCCAGGGAGACCCTGGCAGTGGGTAAGCACCGGGCAACTGGGAAAGGAGAGCCTGCTAAACTTGTGAGACCCCTAACCCCAAGATGAGAAATTCTGCCTAGACCCAGTGTTTGGCTACCTAAGAAAGCAAACCTTCCTAAGATAGCAAACGTTACTCTTTATGAAGTCTAAGTTGAGCTGATTGTTACTGTTGAGTCCATGGGAGGCAGAACCAGAAGAGAGAGGGCCTTCCCAGACCTGTGCAGAGCCTACAGGCAGGGCTCTGTCGTACTTCTCTCTTCCTGGCCCTCACTTGCTCTCTCTGGGGTTGCAGCTCAAGCACTGTGAAGACCCGGTCGTGATTGACGATGGCGATGTGCCTGGGCCTCAGGACCTTGAGCAAGAGCGAGTGTCAGCGGAGTCCCAGAGCAACCCTGACGCCCAGCCTGTGGCCCTTGCACAGGGCCTAGGGCTTCTCAGCAGACTACCAGGCCAGCCCACTGAGGACCCAGGTATGGAGCCTGTAATGAGTTGGGGAGCTGGGTTAGTTGTACACCATCCGTGTGCTCTGGTGTTGACTAAGGTGACCAACGACAGCTTTTTAACATTCTCTTGTCTCCTCTGAACTGTGAACTGTGGTTGTGGTCTGTGTCCTTCCGCAGAGCAACCGACCCAGAGTCTCCTCCTGGTATTAAATCCTACCAGAGGGAAGGCCTTGAGCAGATGGTGTGAAGTTATATGGTTATTTTTTTATGGGTGTTCTCAGTGGAGACATAGTCACTAGGACCGGGACCTGTGGCCTGATCTGAGCAAGGCTCTACTTTCCATCCTCTCAAACCCACATTGTCTTGCCTGGGTTACCCTGCAGCTGTAAGAAAATCTAAGCTCCCCCGGGAGAGAACAGTAACCTCTCCTTCAGATGGCCCCAGTGCTTTCTGGCAGGGTTTGAGTATCCAAAGCACCCAGCAACTGCAGAGACAGGGCAGAGTCATGCACAAAGCCAGAGCCACCATTCCTCTGAGCTAGAGTAGGACACCGATTGGTTCCTTAAGGAACCAATCCTAGGGACAAGGCCTAGGGACCAGTATTCCTCTTAAAGATACCATTGACATTGTGGCGTGGTGGTACACAGTTTTAATCCCAGCACCCAGGATGAATCTCTGTGAGTTGGAGATCAACATGGTCTATATACCAAGGTCTAGTCCAGCTAGAGATACAGCACTTGGGAGGCAGGGGCAGGCAGATCTCAGTGAGTTTGAGGCCAGCCTGGTCTACGAAGCGTGGTCCATATACAGAGAAACCCTGTCTCCAAAAGCCAAAAAAAGAAAAAGGAAGGAAGGAATAAAAGATAGCATGGCAGGTTTTGTTTTGTTTTCTGCGATGGGTCTGGTTTTGTTGTTGTGTTGCTCAATCTGTGGAAAATTCAATCCTCCCACCGTAACCTCCAGAATACTAGCTCTGTTCACAGTAGTTTTATAACTTAGGCATATGCTGTGTACTTTAATTTGTTTCTCATCTTTTATAATGCCTCCTACAGTGTAAATGCTAAAGGGCCAGAAAAAAGTATGTGCACAGCATTCTTTTTGTCTGATTTGTTGGTCTAGTCGGCCTTGTGATCCTGGGAGGTTTTGGCCCCTTGAGGTTTCAGACATGTTTGGGTGGCCAGGTTACTCTAATTATAATGGGGAAAATGCATTCTTGGGATTTTCAAAATTGTTTCTGGCAGTGAATTTTTGAGTGAGCTGGAGGTCCTGCTCTGTCTGTCCTGCTCTGTCTGTGGAGGGCATCTGCCTGTGTGTGTAAGTCCCCAGTTCAGTCTCCAGGACCTCACCCAAACTAAAAGCAAAGACTGTTTTCTCGTTTTTCTTTTTCCTTCTCCTTTCCTTCCTTGTCCCATCCATTTCTCTTTCTTTTTCCACTTCCCCTTCCTTGGGTTAGCCTCAAATTCATGAGTCTCCTGCCTCAGCCTCCCGAGTGCTGCAATTACAGGGCTGCTTTTTCATACTTGGTGGTAATAGTCTATTTAAAAATTAGTGTGTATGTGAATTTTATATATGTGTGTATACATATAAAATTATATAAATATATGTATGTTCACACACACACACACGTATATACAATTTTCCTGCCTGAAAATGTTTCCTGACTTCTGCACAAATCAGACCTCTGCAGTCCCCTGGCTAGAAGTGAAGGCAATGTTGACTTGGTGGGGCTGCCATCAGTGTTCTACACACTGGATCGCTCCGCTAACAGCAGTTTATTCTCATAGCTAGCTGTGAGGCTGCAGGTCTGAAGTGAAGGACTGGTCAGCCTTGGGTTCTCTGGGTTTCCTTACGTTAGCAGGTAGACAACCACTTCTTGCTGTATCTTCTATCTGTACAACTGTCTTCTAACTACCCCTCTTTAGTGACCACAGTTATGTTGAATTTGGGTCCATTCATGCTCATGACCTCATTTTAACTTAATTGGTTCTTTGGAGAGCCTTTCTCCAAATACAGTCACATTCGGAGGTATCTAGGGTTAGAATTTGAGCATGTAAATTTCCAAGGAACATAGTTTAAACATACCAGGAAACAGAAGGAAGAAGCCATTTCCCCAAATCACCAGGACTGTTTCCTGCAGCCTGGGATGTACGTGAGCAGTCTAAGGGGAGGAATGCCTAGGGAGAGGCCTGCTGTGAAGAATCTTCTAGATTCTTCTGAGATAACATAGCATTCACTCAGGCTTTAGGTTGCTTACGTGAGTGATACTCAGCACAGGACTTCCTGGTGCACAGCATTTGGGAAAACATTAAACACTAGGATTTGCTAGAGATGCAGCTTCTCATTGTGAGGCTCTTTCCTCAAGGCTAGGCTTTGTTTGGGTAGAGTAAGAGCGACCAGTCCTCTGTGATAGGTGGCGGGCATTAGGGAGCACAGTTAATAACAAACAGGCATTAGGGAGCAGAATTAAAACGTTTCCTCCAGAAACCATAAAGAACTTAAAAACTTTGTTGGGAAATCTGTGATATGGCATGAAATAGTTAAAATAATACACTATATAGTCTCTGTTGAGACACGGTCTCAGCCTGGAACTCCCTGTAGCTCAGGTTGGCCTCAGTTTGGATGTTTGTACCCAGCCTACCAAATGCTGGGGTTGTAGCACCACCACACCCTAAGTTTTAAATTCCATGTCTGAGCAAGGTTGAGTTGTGCTTGTCATCCTGTGCCTGATTCATTTTCTTAGGAGATGCGTTCCAGGGTCACCATGATGCACAGGTGGGAGGATTTCACCCTTTCATGACTGACTAGTATCTCAAGTGCCTATTTTTGTCTGCGTATTCTCTGTCTCCCCCTCTCTCTGACTCTTGTTTTTTTGAGTCAGGTCTCCCTGAGTATCATGAAACTTTCTGTGGGGCCTCAAACTCACTGAAATCCACCTCCTCTACCTCCCAAGTGCTGGGGAAAAATGAATGTCATGAGACAGTTTGCAGCCTGGGGTGGTGGCACACGCCTTTAATATACATACATGTATACACACATGTGCATATAATATAGATACATACATTTATATGCATATCAAGTGTTAGGTTAGATTATGGCATTTCAGTAATATGTTCCTGTTGATTGGTTTCTTCCCCATCCTTCTGTCCATCCTTCCTTTATTCTACCTTATAGCCCCCTCCTACTTGGATGTCATGTGTCCTTGTCCTCCTTACCCTTCCTTAGCTCTCTTCTTCTCTTGTAGGCCATGTTTTCTTTATCAGTTCACTATCAATAGATAATTTGATCCCATAACAGCTACTATGACAAATTTCCCAGGTAGCGTAAGGTTGACTTGCCCGTTGGAGGTTCCATATCTTTTCTTTTGGGTTTATATTTTCTTTTGGGTTAGGTCTTTGTTTGTTTGTTTGTTGCTCTGTAGCTTTTGGAGCCTCTCCTGGAACTTAAAAAGGCATGCACCACTACCATCCAGCCGGTCATAGTTTCTGTGAGAAGTTTTTGTTGTTGTTTGTTTTTGTTTTTTCAAGATAGGATTTCTCTGTGTGCCCCTGGCTGCCCTGAAGCTCACTTTGTAGACCAGGTTGGCCTCTAACTTCAAGATCTGTCTACCTCTGCCTTCCAAGTGCTGGGATTAAAGGTGTGCACTGCTACCATCTGGCTGTTTTTGTTTTCTTTTCCTTTTTTTTTTCTTTTTTTTTTTTTTAAACATTAACTGTCTAGATGTATTTGTGGATTTTTAAAATTTATTCTATCATATAATACATCCCGACTACAGTTTTCCCCTTCCTCCCCTCTACCCCCCCCCCCCCCCCCCCCCCCCCCCCCCCCCCCCCCCCCCCCGCAATCTACTACTCTTTATTTCCCTTCAGAAAAGAGCAGGCTTTCCAGTTACATCAACCTAACACAGCATAGCAAGCTGTCATAAGACTAGGCACATCCCCTCATGTCAAGGGTGGATGAGGCAAACCCCATAGGAGAGCAGGCAGAGAGTCATGGCCCTGCTCGTTCCCGTTCTCAGTAATGGTACCAGGGTTCTGGTACCGCGGCCACACTAACCTGGACAACAGTTTTCTGTGGCGCTTTGCAGATGTCCAGCTTACAGATGTATACTGTCCCACATCGTCCTCACCTTCAGTGGACCCTGGTGCCACAATGTTGGCCTTTATTTGGGATTTTGTAAATATTCATACATATCAGTGCAAACATGCTATGGCATGCATGTAATGTCAGAGGGCAGCTCGAAGGAGTTGGTTCTTCCCTTCTAGAGTGCAGGTGCCTGGGATTGAACTCAAGTCATTGTGTTAGCAGCAAGCCCCCTTACTCATTAGGCCATCTTACTGACCCTGTGTTTAGTTTTTGAGTTTTATAATAGTTGAAGCTAGCTGATTCTCCTGCCTCCATCTTTCAAATGCTGGGGTTATGTGTGTAATTATTGTACCTGGCTCTTTTGGGGGTGTATTTTAGATGCTGAAACAAGTCCCTGGATCTACAGAGGTTGGATAGCTAATTGATCAGGCCACCCTAAAGCCAGGCATTCCCTGGGACAGTCTCTATTGTCTCTCTGAAAAGACTACCAGAACCCTTGTGGTTTGCAAAGGGCTCGTTTTGCAAGTTAAGGCAGAGTGGGGTTTATGCAGAGCAAAGGAATGGCCCCTGTTGGTCCCTCTGCTTTTCTTTCCTTGCACATCTGCAGCACAGAGCCACCCCTGGCAGTCTGCGAGGTTATGGGGCCTGGCTCCCTTTAGGACATCTTCTCCGTCTCTTCCAGCTCCGCAAGATGGTTCCCTTGTTCAGGAGCAGAGTGTCAGGGACGCCCAGCCGGTGACCACCTGCCAGCTGCCCCCGGTGAGTGATTTCTAAAACAAGCTCATCTCTGAGCTGCCCCACAGGACAGTTCTTCCGGGACTCTGGCCTGCTTACTGTCTGCCACCGAATGTTCAGCCTTAGCCCAAGACCAAGGTGAGCAGGGCTGAGCTTAAAGATGCCCATTGTTTCTGCTCTTCCTGCAGCTCAAAGGGCTGCTCGCAGGGACACTCCAGGAAACTGCAGGTGTACACAGAGAGCCCCTGTAGTAGCTGTCTCTCCTTTAAGATCCCCCAGGGAAGAGGATTTAGTTACTTCACAAAGGAGGTGATATTCAAAATGGCAGCTAGGTTTCAAGAAGATCCTAAAGCAGTTGGAGCACTATCACGTGACCACATGGGGTCACATGGGCTCCCTGGTGTGTCTTGTCTGCTGTGTCCCTGGGCCACGTTTGCTTGTTTCAGTGTTCTGAGGAGTGTGGTGGTGTTCTGAGAGGGTGCAGCCGGGCTCTGGTCTCGCAGGAGGAGCGCATTTCTTTCCAGCCCTGTTTCCTCATCTGCTGAGGTCCTCTTTGCTTTTCCCTTCTCGTTGCCCTTTCTGCTGCCTTCCCCCAGAAAATGTAGGTTCCACCAGGGACTGCACCTGTAGAAGACTGAAGAACTAGAGATTGGCACATGCAGCGTTGACAGCCCGACTCCAAAATGCTTAGGGCTGTTAGGTTTGGGGTGGGTGTTGAAGTATTTGCATACATAAAATGAGAACTTGGGTGGTGCTGTGATGTTGCACACCTTTAGACCCAGCACTGGGGTGCAGTCTCTGAGTTCAAGTCAGCCTGGTCTACAGGATAGCCAGAGCCGTTACACAGAGAAGCCCTGTGGAGAGGGGGCGACACACACAGACAAACAAGCTAGAACTTGGAATAAGATTCAAGTTATGCATGTAACTTTTTTTTCATATGCATTATATACATAAACTGCAGGTCATTTAAAGCTTTCTTTAAAAAGAGGTTTAATTGGATGTTTTTGTCTGGGCCTCTTGCCAGCTCCCCACCATTACTCATGTTCTGAGGCTAGCGGTACAGGGTGTGGATTACAGCACATCCCACCTTCTACCCTGAACTCTCCAGCCTAGGGACTGGGCTCCCCATCCCCCAGAGGCTCCTCCGCATATAATCCAGACATTTTGGTTCCCCTTCCCTTTAGGACCTTTGGCCTCCTGGCTGCTGCACCTGGTTCCCCTCTCTCTGTTTTCCTTCTCCACACCACATGGCACTGCACAGCCTGGTCCTGTCCAGTCTGGACTCTCCCAGAGGTCCCTGCCTCTGCCCATGCTCTCCCACCTGTCTACAATAAACTCTCTCCTCCACCATACCGAGAGCAGCCGTGTCCTCTCCTTTTTATTTCTTCTTTTTATTCACTTGGGGAGTTCCAGGCCAGTGTGAGGCCCTTGTCCACCGTTAACAATGACAATAAAAACTATAAAGGTAGATGGAGTGACAACAGCTGAGATTATCTTTGGTCTCTTTATGTTCATACTTAAGCAAATGAGCGCAGTGGTACAGATAGGCCTCAGAGACTTGCTTGTCCCTTCTGTCTCAGAAGGACACAGTGAAAGCTGGCTCAGCAATTAAGACCTGAATTTGATTCCCTGCATCCACATGGCAATTCACAGCCATCTGTTAACTGCACGTCCATGGTATGCAACACCCTCTTCTGGCCTTCTTAGGCCCGGGTGGGTGCTCAAGTAGTGCACAGACAGACAAACTGCCCATATATATACATGAAGCAAACTGAAATTTTTTCTTTTTTTTTCTTTTTTTTTTTTATTGAGAATAGGGAAAAAAAAGTTTCCGCCTCCTCCCAGCCTCCCATTTCCCTCCCCCTCCCCCCACACTTCTCCCCCTCCCCCCACTCCTCTCCCCCTCCCTCTCCAATCCAAAGAGCAGTCATGGTTCCCTGCCCTGTGGAAAGTCCAAGGACCTCCCCCCTCCGTCCATGTCTAGGAAGGTGAACATTCAAACTGGCTAGGCTCCCACCAAGCCGGATCATGAAGTAGGATCAAAACCCCTTGCCATTGACCTTGGCTTCTCATCAGTCCTTATTGTTCGCCATGATCAGAGAGTCCGGTTTTATCCCATGCTTTTTCAGTCACAGTCCATAGAACCTTCATCTGGTGATGGATGGAGATAGAGACAGAGACCCACACTGGAGCACTGAACTGAGCTCCCAAGGTCCCAATGAGGAGCAGATGGAGGGAGAACACGAGCAAGGATGTCAGGACCACGGGGGGTGCACCCACCCACTGAGACAGTGGGGCTGATCTATTGGGAGCTCACCAAGGCCAGCTGGACTGTGAAATTTTTTCTTAAATGTTTCAAGAGAACAAGAAAGTGTCGCTGTTGATGGAAACTGAAGATGGAGGCTGTGCCGCATTCACAGGACCTGAGGCTCAGGCATTCCATAATGAGATTCGGGAGTAGGAGCCCTCACTGGGTGTAGATGACAAGGACAGGACAGGAACTGTCAGCTGTCAACGGGAAGGAGACTAGTCCATGCAGGGTCTTTTTCTTTTTCTTTTCTTTCTTTCTTTTTCTTTTTTTTTTCTTTTTTTTTTTTTGAGACTGATTCAAGCTAGCCTTGGACTTGTGGCTGTCTTCTGGCCTCAGGCTCCCAAAGCTAGTAGGATTATAGATCTGAAGGTGTGATGTCACCCTGTCTGGCTCTTAACTCTGCTGTTTTCTGGCTGTTTGTTTCCAAAAGAATGCTGTGACCTTGATAGAGTTTGAGCAGGAGAAAGCAACGTGGACAGATTGTTGTCTTCTCCTTTGCTGGCTTAGCTTGAAACTGAGTTAAAAATGATCCAGGCTCTTCTCTGTTCTCTGACCTGTGTTTCAAATACCTCAGCTTTTTTTTCCTACTGTTTCCTCTTTTTAATTTACTTGGGTTTGTTTTGTACGCATGACTGTATAACACGTGAGTGCTAGGAATCATATTCAGGTCCTGTAAAAGCAATAAGGATTCTTAACTACTGAGCCACCTCTCCAGCCCTGCCCTTCCCACTAGACTTTCAGAGCAGCATCCCAGGTGACCGCACTTTTCCTGTGCTTTAGGTGACCTTCTGTTCAGGGCTCCTCTGTGGGGAGGGGCTTTTCCCTAGGAAGTTGTGTTCTGTGGAGCAGGGTGGTTGGTAGATGAGATCTGTGACGTCCTTTAGCCTAGTTTGCCACAAGTGGTAGGAGGGAGGAAGGTGGGGGAGAAAATCCACTCACCACGAGGCCTGCTCTGTATTTTTAGATGTGGCTTGTTTTGGAAAGGCTTATGTGGGTATGGGTAGTTCAGGTTTTTTTGAGCAAAAATATGTGGCTGGATTTGGTCTACCAGTTTACATGGTTGGGAGAGAGAAACTGCTCATCATTTAGAAATTAGTAACAGAGGACTGGAACAGAGATCTGCTAAGCCAGCCTATTGTTTTTTCCTCTGAACAGTGGAAATATTTAGTAATTAACAAAAAATCCACTAACAGACTAAGGCCGAGTAAGTTCTTGAGACCCGGAGGGCTGATGAGTTTCTTGTCTAGTATTTTCCACATGGGGCTTTGTTGCCCACACAGCAAGATACTCAGCCAGGGCGCCTCCTTACTCTGCTAATGTGTCCCCTCAACATACTCGGCCAGTGCACCCCCTTACTCTGCTAATGTGTACATCTCAAGGCAATTTGGTTGTCTAGCCACTGGGAGTTTTTGTTTGTTTTCTGAGACAGGATTTCTCTATGTAGGCCTAGCTGTCCTAAAACTTGCCCTGTAACCAGGCTGGCCTAGAATCCACAGAGATCCACCTGCCACTGCTTCCTGAGTGCTGGGATTAAAGGCGTGCTGCGCTGCCACCAGCCAGTTGCCACTGGCTTTTAAATCACACTGTAGTGAAGTGGCCACCCTGGCATCAAGCTGAAGGGAAGGCTCTGACCCATGTTGATATGAGAAGTAGCAAATTATCGTTGCAAAAGGGCTCCTCCATAGGAGCTCAGCACCACCTTTCTGTTCTCGAGTCCCCACAGAAATGAATTGCTTGGTTCCTCTGAATCAGGTTTGGATATATGCAGGTGCGTTGTTCCTTGTGATCCATCCTGTGTAGTCTCCCCAAGCATCACAGATTTGTCTTGTTTTATATGACTTGGTGATTAAGTTGTAGGTCACACTGCAGCATTCAGCTTATCTGGACTTCCATCTTAGAAAGTCCATTGAGGCTTTTCTTAAAGTTTTTGTTCTTAGTCAGTGCCTGCCTGTTTGATAATATTGTGGTGAGTGTTTTGGGGGTAGCGAGAGTGTAGTATGAGCATCTGGCGTGGATTGGCTAAAGCAGAAGATGTGAGGTGGATCCAGTGTCTTTCGGTGTTGACTGGTGGTCAGGAGGAGGGGAGTTACTGTGAGAGCTCTGCAGGTGGTGGCAGATCTAGCATTTGTTGGAGATGGTGAGATTCTGACTGAGCAATCAACTTTCTGTGTCTGGGCCAAAGGGAGGAGAATAACAACTGTCCATAAAAACCATGACAAGCCAGCATAGTAGTACACACCATTAATCCAAGTGCTTGGGAGGCTGAGGCAGGTGAAGTGACTGTACGCACTGAGACTCTGTTTCAAACAACAACAAAGAAGCTGGAGAGATGCTTCAGTGGTTAGTACTGGCTGCTCTTCCAGAGGATCTGGATTCAATTCCCTGCATATACATGGCAGCTCACCCCTGTCTGTTAACACCAGTCCCAGGGATTTGATGTCCTCTATAAGCACTGCAGATGGTGCACAGACATACATGCAAGTAGTTCACCCATACAACAAAATATTTTAAAATTTTTTAATTAAACCTTTAGCTATTTTTAGTGGCTTAGAATAACAATCTAAAACACAGGGGCACTAACTGGCTTTATACAGCATAATTAAAAAAAAACCCTCAAGAATAAAATTAGCGTAGTAACTATAGAGTGGGCATGATGAGGAGCTGGAGAGATGGCTCAGAGGTTAAGAACACTTTTTGCTCTTGCAGAGGACCTGGATCCAGTTCCCAGCATCTACATGGTGACTCACAACCGTCTGTAACTAGCTGGGAGATCGATGGCTTCTTGACCTCTGAGGGCACCAGGCACTCGCTTGGTACAGATGTACATAGGCAGACAAAACAGTCATACACAAAAATTAAATTAAGAGAGAATTGTTAAAAGAAAAAAGAATCAGCAGCTCAAGACTCCCCCAGACCTTGGGCAAAAGTGTCATCCTCAGGCCAGCACACATTTCCCTGGTCAGAAAGAATCTCAGAGCCAGTGCCAGTATCCCGGTGACCTCTGCAGGTGGGCTGCTGGCATCCTCTCTGGGAGTGTTTCTTCTGAGATCTGTTTCCTGTAAATGAAACCACCAACCTGGACTCGACTAGGTAGAAGGTCACTCTCCTTGCTACAATACAAAAGATGGCTTTTGGTTTTCCCTTAACAGCTTTAATGAGTTCTTGGCATCACCAAAGACTTCCTTTTCGGTGCTAAAGATTGTCAAGCCCCAGAGGAGGGTGAATCTGAAATTGTAGAGAACTGAAGGTCAGGCTTTGGGCCAAGCAGTGTTCCCCTAAGTTTAGCTGAGTCTTAATCCACTTGTCCTTTCTACACCCCAGAGGGCTGGAGGCGGTAGGCAGGTGAAGACGCAATAGTACTGGGTAGAGCCCAGAAAGCTGCTTTGCCCCTTCACCATGTGAGGACCCCGGGTCTTTTTGTTGTTTTGGTTTTTCAAGACAGGGTTTCTCTGTGCATCTAGCAGTCCTGGAATTCACTCAGGCTGGCCTTGAACTCAGAGAGCTCTCCTGAGTGGTGGGATTAAAGACCTGGGCCCCCACTGCCCACCAGGAGCCTCAGTCTTTAAACCACTTTTAAAACATCAGGCTCTTACCAGAGACCCATCTGCTGCACCCCCGTCTTAATTTCTAGCCTCTGAAGTCATCAGGCATAAGTGCCTCGTGTTACAGGCCACCTGACTGTGGCATCTGGTTATCACAGCTGAGAGACACAAAGGCCCTGCTCTTCTCCAGCTGACACAGCCCTGCTCTGCACTTTCAGAACCGAGTTTCTCCATTTAAGGATATGATCTTATGCTTCTCAGAAGAGGACTGGTCTCTTCTGGACCCAGCGCAGACTGGTTTCTACGGAGAATTCATCATTGGGGAAGACTACGGGGTCTCCATGCCTCCAAGTAAGACCTAGCTTCTCAGGCAGCCAAGTGTATGGAAGGTGGGTGGGGGGCCTCACTCTGACTGAGGGACACCACCATGAGGTTCAGGTACTGTGGCTGAATCTGATCTGTTTACCCTCTTAACCTTGACAGGAAGCTTCCTGTACAGCATCCACGGGTAATTTGTGGGTGGCCTGGCTATCCTAACACGTGTAGTTAGGCTCTTAGGCTCTGTCCCAAATACGGCATTATTTCAGTGTTTCCATCGCTTCCAGTCGTTCTTGCCCCAGGGGCCCTTTTCTGTGTACCCAGTGGGCCTCAAAGGGATGATCCTGGCCTGCTCTTGTCACATGCTGCCTTTTACCCTTCCCCAGTTTCCCGGCCTTGCTCTCCTCTGTACCACCAGCTGTGCTTGATACAGCTCAGTGGCTGTCTCGCCACAGTTTCTTCTTGGGCCAGACAAGGGTTCCCTCACTGGGCCTGCCCTGGTCACCTGCAATAATAGCAGGTCACTGTTGACACTTTTGTGTCCTACCTCTTTGTGAACAGACGACTCTGCAGCTCAGCCAGACCTCTCACCTGAAGAGAACGGGCCACGGGTCATAGAGATGCCAGCCCTTCAGGGTAAAGATGCGCCCCAGGTGTCCTGCCTAGGTGAGTGGCAGTCCAGAAGCGGGCAGGCAGGAAGGAGAGAACTGTTGCAGCCAGGGCACCCCAGATTCCCCCCACAGTGCCCCACTGTCTTGGCATTCCATGCTCTGCTTTGCCTCTAGCTTTTTGTAGAGAGTGGGAAGTCTGGATTTTGCTGTCCATTGAGACTGTTCCTCAGCCAGAGACTAGTAGAGAAGGGAAATGTCTCCTGCTGTCCATAGTAGCCTATGTTTGTAGCAAGGTTCTCTCCAGAAAAGTGGGCAGATGCTCGTGCTGAGGACTGAGCGCAAAGCACAAATCCTTTAGACACTGTGCTTGCCTGTGCCCCACCCACACCCCCAGATTCTGGGAGAATCCCATGGGGAGAGATGGGTAAGATTGATCTGCACCACATAGGCCTGTGTGCCCAGGATGCACGCATGTGGGTGGGGGATGCAGCTGTGCTATGCACGGAAGTAGCACTGAACAGAACCTAAGACTGTGCAGGGCCTGTCAGCAAAGGTGTTGCTTCTCTGATGCCACAGAGGTAAATGAACAGAACTGGAACCTGTGTTAATTTGTCCAGCTTCAGACCTAGGTTCATAGTGTTTGCTCATTTGCTTCCTGTGGAATGACCCCTTTGCACCAGACCCCAGGAGGGAACGCGGCACCCACAGATCATAGCCTACCTCTTCCTTAGTTGTTTCTGCATGGTGACACCTATATATATGTGTGTGTGTCATATATATATATATAAAACAAATCGCTTTCTCCATTTCTTTGGGAAGACCTTCCCAGTCTCCAGCCATTCCAAGAAGAAGGAAGGAAATGGGAGGAACTGCAGGTGCCAGAGCTCCAGTCCTGCCAGCAGGTGGCGCTCACTCAGAGTCCTTGTCCAGGAAGTGATCCACCACCCCTAAAGAATAGCCTGGACCAGGAGGTGACCATTGAGATCATGCTATCCAGTTCTGGGGATGAGGACTCCCAACACAGCCCATAGTGCACAGAGGAGCTGAGGAGCCCTGCAGAAAAGCCCCATAGTCTCTCGACCCACCGCAACAGCACGGAGGTTGGAGGCGAGGTGCAAACCTCACANTGCCAGAGCTCCAGTCCTGCCAGCAGGTGGCGCTCACTCAGAGCCCTTGTCCAGGTGAGGAGCCTGGGTGTGATGTGTGACCTTGTGCTTGTGGTGGTGGGGGGGGGGGGGGGGGGGGGGGGGGGTGTGTGTGTGTGTGTGTGTGTGTGTGTGTGTGTGTGTGTGTGTGTGTGTGTGTGTGTGTGTGTGTGTGTGTGTTGATTAGGACATTAGGAATGAGACTGGCCAAGGTTCTTGCTGACTGCTGCTGGGGGTTGCCAGCCTCTTGTTTTGGTTTTGCTGTTTCCCCATCTCACAGTGGCTCGTTGGCTGTTCCAGGGTAGATGTGGGGGCGGGGGCTAATGTGACACTGGTCTGTATGTACCTGATGATGGGTACGCCAGAATCCCGAGATGGTCTTATTGTAGAGCAGAGTCTAGAATGCAGAAGCTGCATTGCTGCCCTTCCAGTATGAGTCTCGGTCGTGGTAAAAGTGACCCTTCAGAGGCGACTGCAGTGTCCTGACTTAACACGCGGGCTCTACTGAACACATCTTTGGACCCAGTGCCCAGTGGCTGCCTGTAGACGTCACACATTTGTTCCCTTGTGACGCAGGCAGGACTGGTGTGCCCACCTCATGCAGTACGGGGCACTCAGCCATCGTGCTCAGCTCCTTGCTCACGTGTAGACAGTGGATTTTAGAGCATGGTCCCTCAGCCTGAAAGGAGGAGGCCTCTTCTACCAATGCTTTTGTCTTTTCCTTTCCTGCATTTTTTTCATGCATGTGTGGTCAGCTCTTAACATTGTTTTCTGGCCTTTAATCCCAGCACTCAGGAAGCAGAGGCAGATGGATCTCTTGTCTCTTGAGTTCAAGTCCAGCCTGGTCTACAGAGTGAGTTCCGGGACAGCCAGGACTACATAATGAGATCCTATGTCAAAAAAAAAAAAAAAAAAAACCAAAAACTTAAACCAAACAAGCAAAAATGTTCAGTCTTCTTAAAATGTCCAAAGTCTCTTTTAAGCTACAAAGCTCGTCAGCATGGTGTTCCATACCTTTAATCCCTCAGAGCTACACAGAGAAACTTACTTGAAACCCCCCCCCCAAAAGGTAGAAAGTCTTTCTAAAATCACAGTGTCTTGAGCCTGACAGTGGTGGCGTACACTTTAATCCCAGTACTCAGGAGACAGAGGTAGCAGATCTCTGTGAGTTCGATACCAGCCTGGACTACAAGAGCTAGTTCCAGGACAGCTAGACACAGAGAAACCCTATCCTGAAAAAAAAAACAAAAAATTTTTTTACAAAGTCTCTTAACTATAGGCTCTTATAAAATGAAAAATAAGTTCCATACTTTCTTAGTGCAAGACAGAAAGACCAGGGCACATTCAAATCAAACCCCGAAGTCCGACACTATAAAACTCAGTGTTAGACGTCTGGGACTTACTCTCTTCTGGACCTAGGCAGCTCCGCTGTCCAGCTCTGCTATCCATAGCCCACACACAGTTTGTCTCCTGGGCTCCACTGTATTCCCTTTCTTAATATGCAGACAACTGATATGAGGTGACGGCCCCCAACACAGCTACAGCACACCAGCGCACAGATATCACATACATAGACCAGACTCACTACTAGGTGGAAACTGAGGCCAGAGTCGTGGGGAGCAAAAATTTGTACAAATATGGTGTAAGCAAAAGATCTATTCATCCGTAGGGAGAGTAGCATAGGCGTTCAGGAAGGCATTGGCCCTCTTTGTTGTGGGGGAATTGAGCTGTATGGGAAAAAGAAAGAGAGTCTGTGGAGGCTACAGCACCTGATTATGAAACAAACGAAAAGCTATTAGCTTAGGAATAATTTTATTCTGGGTCTTTACCGACACACACCACAGAGGACCGTGTATATACACACTACTACTTATATACCATTTACAGACTTTAAATATCATAGAAATACTATACATACCGACACATAGAAATACTATACATACCGACACATTCATTATACATGTAGTACGAATACCACTTACATCTCTGTTTTTGCCCTCCCTTGTGGAACTGGACAGTCTGGAAGTCTGCATACACTTCCCACAGCCTTAGCTTGTCATTTTTCCTTCAAGGAATTTCTCATAATGTGTGGGTAAACATGCCAGCACAACTAACCCATCCTGTCACCTTAGTGTGGGAGGGGCCGGGTATGTTTCAAGTTATTTTAGCTTTTGAATTTCGGCACTATCAGAAGGTTAGTTTTCTTTTGGTTTGAGTTTGTTTTTCTTTTAAGACATTTTGACTGTATAGCCAGACTAGCCTGGAACTTGCAACTTACTGCTGAAGCCTCCTAAGTGTGGACTTAATCAACAGACCTCTATTGCATAGACTTCTCTTTTCCTCTTATATTTGTTTTAGATCCGCCAGTATAGTCTCATTTAACCTCTTAAAAGTTCCCACCTTCAACTACAATCACATTCTGACATCTAGGGAATTAGGATTTCAATGTGGGACTTTGGGGAGATGTAGTTAGGCCCACAACACTCCCCTGGTGTCCTCAAGTTCATGTCCTTACATGCAGAATATATTTACCTATGTCTGGCACAGTGGTAGAGGCCTGTAGTCCCCACTGAAGGCTGAGGAGAGAAGGTCACTTTAGCCCAGGAATTGAAGCTCAGCTTCAGCTTTGATGGCACAGTGGGACCTCACAAATCCAATACATCACCAGCTTCTGTCCGAATGCTCATGTAACTCGGATGTGATGAGACTTTAGGTCTCGTCCTAACCCGTTCTTTTCCAAATATGAAGCAGGTAAGCTGTGTGTCAGGACAAGGGTGAGGCAGATGCTTCCAAAAGCACAAAAGAAAGATAAGCCCCAAAGGCTCCTGTAAAGCCTAGTTAGGTAAGTTCTAGTTTCTGAGCTGAAGGAGACCTTTGTTAGTGCTGGCTCAAGGCCAAGGCTGGCTGACGCTGAGCAGAACTGGCTCCAGTCCCCAGGCTGTGCTCTTGTGTCCTTGGTGGCAGTGCTGCTGCCGCTGTTGGCCTCTAAGGAGCCTTAGGGTCATTCCTCCCCTTTCTCGTGGGATAGCACGTGTCTAACAGCTCAGCTGTTAGGTAGAGAGCTGGAACTACAGCCTTCTTTGTTTATCCTTTCTCTTCCGTTTAGTGCAAAATCTTCAAAGAACCTTGTTGGTCTCCTATAAGATACAGTTCAGGGGGCACAGACACCAGGCAGGGAGCTCCTCCTACACAGCTCTCTCCCAAGTAGCTGCATCTCTGTTCTCGCTGCCAAGGTGATTGGCAAGGTTCCAGGAGGCCCAGACACACACTGCCCAGTGTTTATTAAGCCACAGTTTGGTGTTCTCCCCAGAAACCATCCTTTGGAAGTATTAATCCTGCCTTGGTTTAGGTATGGTTGGAGGATGCTCTCAAAGGCTTCTTTTAGAGGCTTTGTCCTCAGAGTGGCAATGTGGGAGGCGGCAGAGCCTAGTAGAGGGTCCTCAGGTAAATGAACGAGCCACCTTTAAAAGAGAAAAAGGAGGACTGGAGGGGTGGCTCTTAGAGAGGACCCCGCCTGCACACATGGCAGCTCACAGCTGTCCTTATTCCAGTTCCAGAGGCAGTGTCCTCTCCAGGCAGCAGGCACACAGACGGAACACACATGTATAGGCGTCAGGGCTGGAGAGATGAGACAGCTCAGCTGTTCCGTTCTCAGCGCTTACACGGAGGCTCACAACTGTGTGTAACTCCAGTTCCAAGTGATCTACTGCTCTCATCCGGCCTCCGTGGGCACTACACACACATGGTACACAGATTAACACGAAGGCAACTATCTGTAAACATAAGATAATCTTTTAAAAATTTATTATTAAAAAATACAGAGCCAGGGCCTTAGTGGTGCTCACCTTTAATCCCAACACTAGGGAGGTGGATCTTTGTGAGTTCAAGGCTAGCCAGGGCTACACACAGAAACCTTGTGTGCTTGGGGAGGAGCATGGGTTGCTCTGTGGGAGAAGGGCCCTCAGCCTTCAGCCCTGCAGTGCTAGGTAGCTTGCTCTTAAGTGACGTGACTTTCACATGCCTGGGGTGGGGAATGAGGTTGACTGTGCAGGTGTGGAGACCAAAGGTCAACTTCAGATGTCACACATATTCCTCAGAACTCATCCATATTGTTTGGGGGAGGGGATGTTGTTTGTTTGGTTTGGTTTTCTCAGTTGTTTGTTTATTGAAATAGTTTCTCTGTGTAGTCCTGATTGCCCTGGAACTTCCTCGGTAGACCAGACTGGCCTTGTACTCAGATCCTCCTGTCTCTGCCTTCATAGAGCAGGACTTCTTTTGGTTTTTAAGATAGGGTCAAAAAGGTACAAAGTCTCCAGCCAGGCCAGGCAGTGGTGGCGCAAACCTTTAATCCCGGCACCCAGAAGGCAGAGGCAGGAGAATCTCTGAGTTTGAGGCCAGCCTAGTTAATAGAGCAAGTTCCAGGACAGTTTTGAAGATCAAAACAAAACCCTGGAACCTAGGGTTTATCAATTAGCCAGCAAGCCCCAGGGGCCCGGCCTGTCTCCATCTCCCCACCCTCCCCACCGCTGGGATTACTAACACATCCCATGAAATCTAACTTTTATTTCTGTGGGTCTTTGTGTTTCTGTGGTAAACACTTTCCCTAGCCATGGTGTGCTCTCTGGCTTTGACATCCGGCCATTGCTATCATCTATCAGTGATATGGCCAGGGGAAGCTCTCACCAGAGCCTCTCCAAAACAAAACTAAACAAAGCTTCACTTTGTAAGCAGCTGCCGCGGGCGTCTGATTGTTGCCATGATGAAAGCCAGACTAAAGCAGCTGCCTGAGGACTTTCCCTACCTTCACATTCCAGAGCTTTACTTCAGTCCAGATTTTAATGAAGGCAGGAAGAAGAAGAAAACAGTGTCTCCAGCAATCTGCTTAGAAATACCCTTGCTGGAGCCGGGCGGTGGTGGCGCACGCCTTTAATCCCAGCACTCGGGAGGCAGAGGCAGGCGGATCTCTGTGAGTTCGAGACCAGCCTGGTCTACAGAGCTAGTTCCAGGACAGGCTCCAAAGCCACAGAGAAACCCTGTCTTGAAAAACCAAAAAAAAAAAAAAAAAAAAAAAAAAAGAAATACCCTTGCTGTCACTTAGCTTCTGCTTGTCACAGAACACCTAGCACGCATTTTAGCCAAGTTTTTCTGCCACCTTGCAAGAATCACCTTTCCCTTACACTTCACTGCCTTGTTCTGGCTTCCATCTGAGACACATCCAGAAGTCCACTAAATACCCGTTTCTACCAGCCACCTCTTCACATCTGTCGATAACATGCACCTTACCCACTCCCAGCCTACGGCTGGGCTCCAAAGCCGCTTCCACAGTTACAGCTGTTCCCATACTTCCTGCTACCAAAAGCTGTGAGACTGGGATCTTCGTATCTTACCATAAGTGGAGCCTTTCCCCCTTTGGTGTGTGGATGTGCTCATGGAGGCCAGAAGAGGGTATCGGCTCCTGGAAATGAGTTACAGACTGTTGTGAGCAGCCATGGGGGTGCTGGGAATTGAACCTAAGTCCTCTGGAAGAGCAGCCAGTATTTAACCACTGAGCCACCTCTCTGGCCTCACACGGACCAAACTTTTAACCACATAAAAGTTTCTCTCAGTTCCAGAGGCCTTAGTGCAGGATCAAGGTCTCATTAGGGTGGGCTTCCTCTCCTCCCCACAACTACCTCTTCCCTGTGACCTCCATGATCTCTCTGTATCAGGTTTCCTGTTACAGAAATACCAGTTGTGTCGGGACCTACCTCTATAGTGGCCTCATTCCAGCTCACCTCTGTCTCCCTATTTTAAGTTAGCTCTGAGGTGAAGTCTCATTGTCCTTTCCTGTGTGTGCTGTGTCGCATTGTCTCCTGTCATCCTCTCCTCCTGCTGGTCCCTTCCCCCTTGCAAGTAGCTTCTTTTCTGCTGAAGATGTTGAGTATTGAAGGTGAAGCCTTGTGTGTGCTAGGCAAGTTCTTATAATAAGTTAGCCAGGCTAGCCTTGAACTCACTCTGAAGATTCTCAAACATTCATCCTCCTGACTACTAAGCCATCTCTCCAGCTCTTTATAAAGCTCTAGGTTCTACATATACGTCAACTTGCCTTTTGAAAAACTGTCTCCAAATACAGTGGCATTCTACCATCCTGGAGGTCACTTTGAGTTGGGGCACAAGGAGTTCATGGCATAGACTTCCCGCTGTCATAATGTCATCTCCTACTGAATAAAGGAGAGAAGACTTTGTAGGCTGCTGTAGCACTGTGTCTTCTACTGAAAGCTAGTGGCGATTAATAGGAGAAAGGTGTCACTAGCAAGGGCTCAGTAGCACCTTCTACCTGGCCACACAGAGTCAAGAAAGTGAAGAGCAGAGCTGCTGTGATCATTTCAGTCCCGCAGATATGGCTGCATGGGCTTAGAAAAGCCACCTGGCCAGAATGAGCCTTCTCAGCTGGAAAACCCGGAGGACAGCTGAGCTTTGAATCTCTCCTTCTAGCTCTGTCAAGCAGAGTTAGGTTGGGTAACAATGAGGATCAAGTCCGTCTCCCACCCTTCTCCTTGTGGCTGTGAGTTCACAGCATAGGCAGAGGGGGCTGTGCACACCATAACTCTGACACAGCCCCTGAACCTCCAGGGTCCTTGGCGGGGTGCCTAGTTAAGTACTATAAATGGTGTGTCAAAGGTTTGCACAGGTAAGTGCCAGCTCTTAGAATTTTAAGGTCCAGTGGCTCCGGAAGAAATGCTTGGAAAGGAAAGGATTGTGGGAAAACAGCAGGAAAGTCAGGAAGAGACACAGTTACGACACCAGCAACTGTGCAGGGCAGCCAGACCTCAGGAATTGGTAAGGAACACTACAACCCTAGGGTGTCTGGATCCCCTGTTAAGCCTGTCTGCGCAGGAAGTAGTCTAGACAGGTCCACTGACCATACTGGTATTCTGTAACAGGAGGGGATCCACCACCCCTAAAGAATAGCCTGGACCAGGAGGTGACCATTGAGATCGTGCTGTCCAGTTCTGGGGATGAGGACTCCCAACACAGCCCATACTGCACAGAGGAGCTGAGGAGCCCTGCAGAAAAGCCCCATAGTCTCTCGACCCACCGCAACAGCACGGAGGTTGGAGGCGAGGTGCAAACCTCACAAAAGTCTTATGTGTGTCCGAACTGTGGGAAGATCTTCCGCTGGAGGGTCAACTTTATCCGCCACCTGCGCAGCCGCAGGGAGCAGAAGCCACACAAATGCTCAGTGTGTGGAGAGTTATTCAGTGACAGCGAGGACCTGGATGGACACCTGGAGACCCATGAGGCCCAGAAGCCCTACAGGTGCACTGTCTGCGGAAAGAGCTTCCGCCTCAACTCACACCTGCTCTCCCACCGACGGATCCACTTGCATCCAGACAAACAGCCACCAGTGAAGAAGAGCGAGGAGGATGCCTTGGAAACGGAGGGCACAGGTACCCAAGCCCTGCTGGAGAAGAGCAAGGCTAAGCTGGCCTTCCAGTGTGGGAACTGTGGGAAGGGCTTCCAGCGACACGACTATCTGGTGAGACACCGTAGCCACTGTCACCTGAAGAGTGAGGCTCGTCCCCTCCAATGTCGGTACTGTGTCAAAACTTTCCGGCAGAATTACGATCTCCTCCGCCATGAGCGCCTGCACATGAAGCGCCGCTCCAAGCAGGCTCTGAACTCATACTGAGCGGGACGTGGCCCTACAAACTAGTCCCTGCCTAGCACAAAGCCCGAACCACCTGCCCTTTGCTCTCAGGTAGTGTCCGACTTCTGGTGCCATGCCTCTTCCTCCCCAGATAAAAAGTAGCCACCTGAGCACTCCTTCTACTGTGCCAAAACCCAGGGAGGTGAGGCAACTCTGCATCTTAGAGACCTTTAGTCACATGCTCCAGCCCTCAGAGGGACTGAGCTGCCCCATCCCATGCCTTCTAGGGGTGAGGTATGTGCAGTGGGGAGCTGGCCTAAAGCCCTGACCCTGGTCCTGTCCTCAGAAGTCAGTTTGAGGTCATTGTGTCTAGGAGAGTGTCCCACAGATGGCCAGGAGGGCCTTTGGGGTCTGGGGATTGTCATGAGACCTGATTTAGCCAGGCCACTGACCATACGGGGATCAGGAGCTCACATTTTAAATGTGTGCACCTGTCCCAACATGTCTTCATTGTGCCCCAAAGATCCTTCATAAATCTGTGATGGGAACTGCCTGTCACCACCCTGAGTCCTGCATTCTGTCAGCCCATCAAGGCTCTGTTGGGCGAGCCAAACCCTGGGACAGAAGCTTCTGTGAAGCCGTGTCCTTCAGGGGTACCCAGTCCACGGCAGTCTCTTTAGTTCCCTGGCACTGTTGTGACTGTACTAAACCTGAGCTCTTCTAACATCAGCAGGGGGCGTTGTCCCAGCTGTGAGGCTGCAAAGGCCGAGAGCTGGTGTCAGCAGGGTTGGTTCTCTGAGGCTGGGGCTGTCGTCACTAACCCTTGTCTGTAGCCCTGGGCTGCATACTGCACAGAGAAGCTGAGGAGCCCTGCACAAACGTCTTTGCCTTTGTCTCCACTGTGTCGGTCTCCAAGCGTAACCTTTTGTACAGGATCCCAGTTTTTGGGTTGGGGCGCTAACCCTGTCTGTTACAGCTGAACCCCACCTACATCTGGAGTGGCCCGTTTCCAAATAAAGTCACATCTTGAGGTGCTAGGAATAAGGACTTCAACCCTGGAGTTTGAGTGGACATAGCCAAACCCCAGATGATCTCATGGTGCTGTTATCCTGCCTCAGATGAACCGATGTGGACTTGGGGTAGCTTGCTGGCCATCCCTTTGAATGCTGGGCTCAGTCCATTGTCTGTTCTCAGAGCTGCTGCCATCTGCAAGGAAGAATCCTCATCCATGGCCTTTAAGTTCAGAGCCTGGGATTCTGGGGGTAGTTGTTGGTAGGAAACCTCAAGCAATTGAAAATGTGGTCTTACTGTCCTGGCCCACTGGTGTTGACCTCAGTTTGGCTATGACTGGACCCAAGAGCTGCAGCCAGGCTGGTTCTGTAGGCTGTACCAGCTCTCAACTGTCAGGAAGCCTGAGAAAATGAATTCACGGCCTCTGGTGCTCTATGTCCTGATTTTCACATCAAGAAGCCTCTATTCAGATGCAATCAGAGAATTTTGAGACTTTCTTTTTCTGCTCAGTGCATTGCCCAGAAATAGTAAATGCAATAAAACCACCACACCTTGAACAAGAAATAAACTGTCCTAGTTTCTAACTAGTTCTCTTCTATCCTTGTGTCTGAAAAAGAGAGAAGTTGGGTCTTTATTGGTCAAGGGAGGGCAGACTTCCACATGGAGGCCAGGGTCTTTGTATTCACCCTCTCTACCCCCACACTCTTGCCTGAGGCTCCACAGTTACCTAAACTGGGAACGCGGTGCTATTCGCTTGTGTATTTGACAATAAAAGTGCAGTGCTTAGAGGAGGTATCCCAGGTATACAGCCAATACTGCCAGGGAGCCCTCATTGCTCATCCAAAGACCAGAAGTCCTGGGATGCAGCTCAATCCCAGGTGTTTTAGCTGGGAGGAACAGTGACAAACCTCCACTAAACATCCTTTCCTTACTGGGCTGGTTGGTCCTTGTCTCCCTCTGGCTGCTGAGAAGAGCCAATTCACTTATTCCTCCAGGTCTTCTCATAGTAGCCCACAGAAGGCTGCAGGTTGAGACCCTGCATCCAAGAAGCCTCCTTCCATGCGCCCCTGATTCCTTGGCTTCCCACAGATGGCGCAGGTGCGTTATCAAAGCTCATTGAGTTAAAATTAGTGTTAGATTTCATTAAAAATAGCATGAAGCTGGTCATGACACCATAGGTATGTTATCCCAGCAACTCATGAATCGGAAGCAATCACCTACACAAATTGGGGAGACCAGCTCTCAAACAACTTTTTAAGTGGTGGAAATAGTTTAATGGTAAACACAGTTGTCTGATGTGCTAGGCACTGACCCCAGTCCCCAGAACCACAAAACAGCATCTGAAGCATAGCCATAGCAGTGAACGACTTAGGAGTAAGTGACTTTTAGGAGAAGAAGGGAAGTTTCTGGGGGTACAGGAGGTGGTTACATTCCCAAGCACACAGCAGAGATTTTACTCGGCCTCTGCTTCTCTGCTCATCTCCCCAACTCGAGTGGCCCCAAGGCTCCTGTTATTGTGGCACAAGTGGAAAAGAAGGTAAGTAAGCCAGCATTTGTGGACATCTAGGCCCAATGGTTTCCCCTCGACCAAAAACAACTCCAATTGGGCAGTAGGAGGATAACTGATATCACCTTGCCAGTTCCATCTATATTACCCAGACTGGCTTTGAACTTGTGAAGTGCCTGCCTCCTAAACTTCCCGAGTAACTGGATTGTGGGCCTGCTTTGGGTTTGTTCATAGGATGAACTATCCAGACTCCCAGTGACAGGGCTCTCTCTTGAGAAGCCCAAACTTTGAAACGGTCTTCTATACATCCCTGCCTGTCCTGGATCAGGGTGGTCTCAAGTTCATAGAGATCTTTCTGCTCTGCACCCCAAGTGCTGGGATTAAAGACACGGACCACCACACCCAGCTCAGACTCCCTCTTTTTAGGTTTAATTTTTAAAATGTTTAGACATTTTATGTGTATGGGTATTTTCCTCTGTGTGTGTGTGTGTGTGTGTGTGTGTGTGTGTATGCACCTGTACACCATGTGCGGGTGTGTGTTTGTGTGTGTGTGTGTGTATGCACCTGTACACCGTGTGCATGTTTGGTGCCTGCAGAAGCCAGAAGAGGGTGCCGGGCAGTGGTGGCACACACCTTTAATTCCAGCAGAAGCAGGCAGATCTCCATGAGTTCGAGGCCAGCCTGGTCTACAAGAGCTAGTTCCAGGACAGCTAGGACTGTTACACAGAGAAACCCTGTTTCAAAAAACAAACAAAAAGAAGCCAGAGAAGGGTAATAGGGCACCTGGAACTAGAGCTGCAGACAGTTGTAAGCCACCATACCATATGGGTGCTGGGAATTGAACCCAAGACCTCAGACTCTTAAACTGTTTTCTTTCTACAATAAAATCTCTCAGTTCTTTGCTTTGTCCCAACTCTGAATTCTTTCTTAGACACATGAGCGAGAGTGAGAGTCTAATTAGTGTTGTTTGCTTTCCTGTGGATGTAAGGCTGCCCACTGGAGTGTGAACAAACTACCAAGAGTCTCACCTGAAGAAAGCCAACTCTCCCCCTGCAGTGCTAGCGTCTCTACCAGGAGTGGGGTCTGGTGAGCACACTCCCCATCCGTGCTGAGATACGGACGGGGCTGACCCTGGACAGGTCTTGCGTAGACAAACACAACTGTTGAGAGCTCATGACTGTAACCGCCTGTTGTGTCCAGAAGACACCATCTCACAGTAGCTCTCCCTAGTCTCTGACTCTTAGGGTCTCCCACGTTCCCATGACAGTGCCTGAGCCATGGGTGGAGGCCTTTGATACACATGTCCTGTTTGGGGTTGAGCACGCAACAGTTACTTATTCTTTACACTCTGATGATTTGTGGCTCTTTGTGCTCTGTCCATTGCAAAAAAACATTTTCTGAGGTAGTGTATGAGCTAGTCTCATTATTTGTGTGTGTGTGTGTGTGTGTGTGTGTGTGTGTGTGTGAGAGAGAGAGAGAGAGAGAGAGAGAGAGAGAGAGAGAGAGAGAGAGAGAGAGATGTAGATGCCTGAGGAGGTCAAGGATTGGGGTCCTCCTGGAAATGGCTGCTGTAAACCACCTGACACTGGGCTCCAGTTTTCCTCAAGAGGTGTGTGTTCTTAATCACTAAGCTATCTCTCTAGCTCTTGGGAAAAAAAAAGAAAAACAAAAACAAAAGTTCAATTCATTGCCATTTATCGAACTGGGAGTCACCGAGATCCAACTTGCAGTTATACAAACCACCACACGATGTCACCATGAGCTCAAAGTATTTTAGAGTAACAACCGGCAACCTGGATTGAAAAGAAAACAATACATTTGACAAACATGGGAAATGATACTCTCGGACTTGAAAGAACGCTCTCAGCTAACCGCATCTAGATTGACAGTCTGTGCTGGCAGTCCTGGTGAGGGCCTTATGCATGGGTCCAGAAATCGGAACGGACTACCCAATAATTTCTCACTGTGAGAGCCTTGACATTTTGATACTTGGTCTCAGGGCCTCAGAAGGGAGGAAGGGAGACAGTGCTCTGGGTTCTGGCTGTCTCAAAGAGTCCCCTGTTGAGGATCAATGATTGCTAGTGAGGGGAAGCACTCCTTTTCCTGCTTTGAAGGCGGAGCCCCATGTTGGAACTCCTAGAGCAGGGTGAGGCCTCTGCTAGGACCGATCATAACATTGCCACCAAATATGTCAAATCAAAGTTTTAGAGACCAGAAGATATAATAATAAAACCCATGTTTCTTCAGCTATAACAAGTGCTGGGTAACAGGAAGGGAATTAGTCCTGCAGCTATATTGTAACCACCAGCCGCGAGGAAAAGTATTCACATGGTCAACAGAACATTTCATCAGGAAAATCTGAGCACAAAACAACTTACAGTGACCCTCCATTGTCTGTCATTAAGGGAGTCAAGACAGAGACACTAGACAAAGCCTCGGGACAGGATAAAGTGTGAATGAGATGGGGTAAAGCCAAGTGCTGCTGCTTCTTGGTTAGCTGGCTGGTCTTTGCTAGCAATGTGTGGAGTTCTCATGATGGCAGACCTCTGACTTATAGGGAACAGTTTTCTTTTCTCAAGTCTGACTCACCTCCTTCATCTTCTCCTTCCCTCCATTCTTCAGCCTATAACAAGGACATCTTGGGGGTTTTATTATTATTATTAATTTAGAAATTGGATTTATGCATTTTATGTGCGAATGTTTTGCCTGTATGTATGTATGTTATGTGCACCATCTGTGTGCTTGGTGCCCCTCGAGGGCAGAAGATGGCATTGAATCCCTGGGAACTGGAGTTATGGATGGTTGTGAGCCATTATGTGGGTGCTAGGACTCATACCCAATTAAACCTGGATCTCTTCAAGAGCAACAAGTGTTCTTAACCAATGAGCCATCTCTTCAGCTACCTTGGAATTATTTTCATTCTTTTCTCCCCCAGCATGCAAAGCTTTTTTGTTTTGTTTTGTTTTTTGAGATAAGGTTTCTTTGTGTAACAATCCTTGGTGTCCTGGAACTAGCTCTATAGACCAGGCTGGCCTTGAACTCACTGAGATCTGCCTGTCTCTGCCTCTCGAGTGCTCAGATTAAAGGGGCGCACCACCACTGCCTGACCCAAAGTTTTTTAATAACAGTAAGATCCAAGGTTAGTTTTTGTATCCAGGCTGACCCTTCAAACTTTCAGCACTCAGAACAGACATAGGGTTTGGTATGGCTTTGTGGTTCCTGGGCCTTGCCAAAGTGCCAACACATCTCTTAGCCCTTCTGAAGACTAGACAGAAGCACGGTGCTGTGGCCCTCGGGAGACTCCAGGCCAGCTGATTGATGGTGGATCTTACCCCCAGCCTTGAGGATGCGACTTCAGTTGTCTGCTCATCCACAGTGCACACACCTTCAGCTTGGGCACTTCCAGAATCCGCAGGTCATCTGTGACTGTCCCCAACCATAGCTGTTTTGTTCTCTCAACAAAACAGCTTCATCCTTTGGATTATTCGGGACAGGGACAGAGGTGGCCGGTTAGTGTGACCCATAAATAACCTTTTCAGTATCACTTGTTTGATGGAGGCATTCATCTGGCCAGAAACCCGTGGGGCTTCCCTAGCAGCCACAGGCAGATGTCCGCTCCTGGGCTCCTCGCGCCGAGTCTTTCAGTCCTTGTGGCCATGTCAGCTCCTATGGCGGTGCCTCCTACACTGAAAAGTTATTTAATTTTTTAAGATGATACTTGCAATTTTCAGTTACTAATGGGGGAAGGTGGCATGCATACTAACTCTCATATAGGAAAGGTTAAAAAGTCAACCTGATTGTAAAATAGAATATAATAATAAATAGAAATTGAGAAGGATGTATGGTGGGTAGGCTGGATAAAGAGAGATCAGATTTACAGAGTGTGAGCTGTACTCATGCTTGGGAGTATGACACTAACTCCCACGAATTTGTATAAGTTTCAGATGTTAAGCAAAATAAAATATTTATGAGTTAAAATAAACATATACTGAGATTTATGTGTGTGTGAATATATATAAAATATTTATCTTTATTCTTTACACATGTTATGTGGCAATTCCTTCTAACTGCAACATTCCATCCTGGAATCC